GGGGCATATCTGCTTAAATATAATTACCAGGTTTTTTAGTTAACTTTAAGACCAGTACTAATATTGGATTATTTAATAAATAACCTTTGACTACTTAATTTCTATATGAAATAGAATATGGAAATATTAGTCACCACTATTTGCTTATTATTTATGTATTCACATTTTTTCTTATTATTCACGTTTCTGATTAGGTACATATGCATGCTCATTTGCTCAGTCATGTACGACTCTTTGCAACCCCTTGGACTGTAGCCTGCCAGGCTCCTCTATCCATGGAATTTTCTAGGCAAGAATACTAGATTGGGTTGCCACTTTTTATGTGAGGGGAATCTTCCCAGGGATTGAATCCAAGTCTCCTGCTTGGCAGGCGGATTCTTTAACACTGAGCCACCTAGGAAGCCCCCTTCAGTTCAGTTCAGCTCATTCAGTCACTCAGTCATGTCCGACTCTTTGAGACCCCATGGACTGCAGCATGCCAGGCCTCCCTGTCGCCCCCTTATTTACATATAAAATACTTTTTATTTACTGAACATGTCTATTTTTGCCACTTTATGGAGTTGTAAAAATGATAGCTGTAGGTAATTGCTTTATCAGTGCTCATGAAATTTGCTGGTATGCTACCAAGATTGTGTATGCAACAGTTATTCCTTATCTTTCAATTTTCTGTGTGGAAAATAAATTGGATATTTAGGTTGAAAATTCATGCTGGAGCAATCCTGGGAGCAATGATTAAAAGATTAAATGTGTAGACAAAGCAATGGGATGCACTTTTGCTTATCAGTGGGAAAACGGAGTAATTTCCTCTTAAAGCAAATATTCTGTACAGCAAGAAGATAGTTATAAAATAAAAAAAGCTTGTATGGTCAGAGAAAGTTTAGACAGTTTCAAGAAAATTAACTTTGCCTTAGGATACCTTCCCAGATGGTGCTAGTGGTAAAGAACCTGCCTGCTAATGCAGAAGACACAAAAGGCTCAGGTTTGATCCCTGGGTCAGGAAGGTCACCTGCAGAAGGGCATGGCATCTCATTCCAGTATTCATGCTTGAGGGTCCCATGGACAGAGGATCCTGGTGGGCTACAGTCCACTGGGTTGCAAGAGTCAGACAAAACTGAACAACTAACACTTTACTTTTACTTTTAGTTTATAAAAACTGAAAAGGATCAGTCTCAGTTCAGTTCAGTCTCTCAGTCATCTCCAACTCTTTGCAATCGCATGGACTGTAGCACACGAGGCTGCCTGTCCATCACCAATTTCCGGAGTTGGCTCATACTCATGTCCATTGAGTCGGTGATGCCATCCAACCATCTCCTCCTGCCGTCAATCTTTCCCAGCATCAGGGTCTTTTCAAATGAGTCAGTACTTTACATCAGGTGGCCAAAGTACTGGAGTTTCAGTTTCAACATCAGGCCTTCCAATGAATACTCACGACTGAGTTTCTAAATAGTCAAACTCTCACATCCATACATGACTACTGGAAAAACCATAGCTTTGACTAGATGAACCTTTGTTGGCAAAGTAATGTCTCTGCTTTTTAATAAACTATGTAGGTTGGTCATAACTTTTCTTCGAAGGAGCAAGAGTCTTTCAATTTCATGGCTGCAGTCACCATCTGCAGTGATTTTGGAGCCCAGAAAAATAAAGTCTGTCACTGTTTCACTGTTTCCCCATCTATTTGCCATGAAGTGATGGGACTGGATGCCATGATCTTAGTTTTCTGAATGTTGAGTTTTAAGCCAACTTTTTCACTCTCCTCTTTCACTTTCATCAAGAGGCTGTTTAGTTCTTCTTTACTTTCTGCCATAAGGGTGGTGTCATCTGCATATCTGAGGTTATTGATATTTCTCCCTGCAATCTTGATTCCAGCTTGTGCTTCATTCAGTCTGGAATTTCTCATGATGTACTCTGAATATAAGTTAAATAAGCAGGGTGACAGTATACAGCATCGACATACTCCTTTCCTGATTTGGAACCAGTTTGTTGTTCCATGTCCAGTTCTGTTGCTTCCTGACCTGCATACAGGTTTCTCAGGAGGCAGGTCAGGTGGTCTGGTATTCCCATCTTTCAGAATTTTCCAGTTTGCTGTGACCCACACAGTCAAAGGATTTGGTGTAGTCAATGAAGCAGAAATAGATGTTTTTCTGGAACTTTCTTGCTTTTTTGATGATCCAGTGGATATTGGCAACTTGATCTCCAGTTCCTCTGCCTTTTCTAAATCCAGCTTGAACATCTGGAAATTTATGGTTCACGAACTGTTGAAACCTGGCTTGGAGAATTTTGAGCATTACTTTGCTAGTGTGTGGGATGAGTGCAATTGTGCAGTAGTTTGAACATTCCTTGGCATTGGCTTTCTTTGGGATTGGAATGAAAACTGAACTTTTCCAGTCCTGTGGCCCCTGCTGAGTCTTCCAAATTTGCTGGCATATTGAGTGCAGCACTTTCACAGCATCATCTTTTAGAATTTGAAATAGCTTAACTGGAATTCTATCACCTCCATTAGCTTTATTGGTAGTTCTGCTTCCTAAGGATGTCTGGTTCTACGTGAGTGACGACACCACTGTGATTATCTGGGTCATGTCTGAAGAGAAGCAGTGAAAGCCATTAAAATGTTGGTAAAGTAGCCTCAACTTCTATGAGTTTATTTATAAGATAAAAAGAAAAACTTCAAGAATTCTTCACTGCTAAAATATTAGATTCACATAGTTCTAGAATGTTGTTTTCTATACAAATGCAGATTTGTATAGGAGTATTCAGTCTGCTTGTAGAAGAGGTAGTTGTTTGTTACCTTCTATGCAACCTGCCTGGACAGATGAGTCTTTTTCTTACAAGATTAGGCAGCATATAAGTGGGTCTTGTTTTCTTTTATCCATTCAGTCAATATATGTCTTTTGATTGGACAAATTAGTCCTTTCACATTTAAAATAATTATTAATAGGTGTGTATTAATTGCCATTTTATTAAATTTTTTTCTCACTGTTTTGTAGTTCATCTCTGTTTTGTTTGTTTTTTTTTTCAGGTTTCTTGCTTTCTTCCCTTGTTGTTTGATGACTTTCTGTAGTGTTACACTTAGATTCCTTTCTCATTATCTTCTGTGTATCTATTAGATCTTTGTGCATTATGGTTACCATGAGGCTCACAGATAACAGTCTCTGCATACCATTGTTGTTGTTCAGTCACTCAGTCGTGTCGGACTCTTTGTGACCCCATGGACTGCAGCACGCCAGGCTTCCCTGTCCTTCACCAGCTCCCGGAGCTTGCTCAAACTCACATCCATCAAGTCGGTGATGCCATCCAATCATCTCATCCTCTGTCGTCCCCTCTCCTCTGCCTTCAGTCTTTCCCAGCATCAGGGTCTTTTCTAGTGAGTCGACTCTTCACATCAGGTGGTCAAATAATTGGAGATTCAGCTTCAGCATCAGTCCTTCCAATGAGTATTCAGGATTGAATTCCTTAGGATTGACTGGTTTGATCTTGCAGTCCAAGGGACTCTCAAGAGTCTTCTCCAACACCACAGTTCCACAGTTCAAAAGCATCAATTCTTCAGTGTTCAGCCTTCTTTATGGTCCAACTTTCACATCCATACATGACTACTGGAAAAACCATAGCTTTGACTAGACAGACCTTTGTTGGCAAAGTTATGTCTCTGCTTTTTAATAAATGTACAATAGTTTAAATTGATAGCAAATTTGAATACATTCTACAAGCCTGCATTCTTGCACTCACCTTCATATTTTATATTTTTGATATCATATTTTACAGTCTTACAAGTTTGTGAATCCCTAATTAAATAATTATGTAATTAGGGTTATTTTTACTACTTTTCTCTTTTAACATTCATACTAGTTTTATAAGTAATTAATCTACTTCCTGTACTATATATTATCTCAACTGCTGAGATTTCTACTTTCTTGTGTTTTCTAGTTACTAATTAATGCCTTTTCTTTTCACCTTAAAGAAGATCCTTTTAACACTTCTTGTATAGCCAGTTTAGCACTGATGAACTTCCTTAGCTTTTGCTCATTTAGAAAACTTTTGATATCTTCTTCAGATGTTAATGATAATCCTGCATGGTCAGAAGTATTTTCCTTTAAGTAGTTTCTATGTATCAAGCCACTCCCTTCTTATCTGGAAGGTTTCACCTGAGAAATCTGCGGTTCATGTTATGGGTGTTCCCTTATGCAAAATACCTTGTTTCTCTCTTGCTGCTTTTAAGATTCCCTCTTTAACTTTTGGCATTTTAATTACTCTGTGTCTTGGTGTGAGTCTCTTTGGGTTCTTGTTTGGAATTCTCTGGGCTTCCTGAATCTAGATATCTGTTTCCTTAGCATTGTTAGGGAAGTTTTCAGCCATCATTTTTTCAAGTTAAGTTTTCTGTTCCTATCCCTGCCTTTTGTCCTTCTAGGACTCCTATAATATAGATATTATTTTTCTTGATGTTGTCCCACAGGTCCCGGAAGCAGTCTTTACTTTTTTTGTTTTTTGCTTCTCTGTCTGGGTGAGTTCCACTTCCTTGTCTCCCAGATCCTTATTTTTTTTTTTCTTCTGCTTCATTCAAGTCCACTATTGAACCCTTCTAAGTATATTTTCAGTTCAGTTATTGTATTCTTCAGCTCTGTGACTTCTGTTTGGTGTTTATTTTCCATCCCTTTATCAAAGCTCTCCCTGTTCATCCATTCTCTTCCTGAGTTCAGTGAGCATCTTTATGACTACTACTTTGAATGCTTTATTATGCAAGTTACTCATCTCATTAACTTTTTTTCTGAAGACTTATCTTGCTCTTCTTTTTCCTACTCTTCTATTTCCTCATTTTGCTTGACTCTTCATGTTTGTTCTATACATTAGGTAAAACAGCTCTCTCTCCCAGTCTTAAAGAGGTGGCCCATGTAGGCAATGAGCTTTATTGTTTAATCCTGCACTGGTACTTGGATGTCTTTTGAAGTCTCCCTCTGTTCCAGAACTACGGGCTCTGAAACACAACCCACCCCGGCATGGGAGCCCAGTGTTCAAGGGCCATATTCTGTGTGTGTCGCACGTGCCCACTGGCTCTGGGGGCCTGTGGGGGAGGCAGGATACTCACCCACCACCTCTAATGAAGTGACTGGAGCATACATGAGGGGTGAGGCACTTGCCCATCCCCTCCAGGAGGACTGTGGCAGAGACACGAGGGGATAGAGCACTCACCTGCTGCCTCTGGCAGGGCTCACGGCATCATGAGGAGGTGGGCGCTAGCAAGTTAGAGCACACAAATGGCGCCCACTAGCACGTCCAGCCCCGGAAAGAGTCTCAGCAAGCCTGTGTCCCTCTGGCAGATGCTTTAAGATCAGCGAATGAATCTCCTTCACATACGGCCTGGGCACTTTTCAAATTGCTGTTTGTGGACTGAGTGCCAGGGTTAACTGAATCTGCACATCAGTTCTTCAAGAGCAGACTCTCTATTCCCTATGGCCCGATGTCTCCTCAGGTTGTAAGCCCTGTAGGTTTTCGAAGCCAGATGTTTCTGGGGTGTTGGCAGTGAAAACATAAGGACTTTTCTTATGCTTTCTTTCTATTTTATTGGTGAAATAAGGTCAACAGATATGCGTGAGGAAAGGAGATAGAATTTTAGGTGTTTGAAGAAAGAGAAGATCTTTTAGGGAATGTGAGGGAAGACTGACAAAGGAAGTATTACTGGACTTCTGGGTTAAACTGAGTGCTCCTTTGAGATCTGTTGTCATAAATTTAATATTGAGGTCTTGTAGCTATAAACTGTGCACCGTGAATGCAGCTGTGACTGTGTATTTTTTCCAGCCTCAATGAGCAAGTCTGTTGTAGGTATGCAAAATGTAAAGTGGTAGGTTTAACGAAGGTTAAATTTGTGCCAGACAACTAGGATTTAGGGAGAGAGAAGTAAGATGGTCAAGGCTATGAGAAAGAGATGAAGTATAATACTGGATCATGAGGGCAGGTGATTAGGGAAAAATCTATCTTTTGTGGTACCTAAACTTTATGTCAGAAATGTTACAAATTTGAGCAAAAGCTTTGACAGTAATGATCAAAACCAAATGCTCAAGCCAGGAAACCTAGAGTAATCTTACCAGCAAGCAAAAGGAAGGTAGAAGAGGTAGGACAAAAGGAGGTCAGTGATGAAAGAGAATAAAGCAGCAAAACTGACCAGCTTGAAGAGGCAGTGAACTTCAGTCAGCCAAAAATCAACTAGGTTTGCATTAGGGATAATAATGAAATAAAATAGCTCACCCTGGGATGTGTTATGCTAACACAGTCAGTTACCAAATAATGTCTTTCAGTGGGGTGTCCCAGGGTATCTCTGAGAACCCAAGTGGTTCATCCTAGCCCTGAAACAGCTAAGCCATCAAAAATTCAGTCCCAGTGAAGAATAAATCTTAACACAGTTCTCTCTTGCTGGCTCATGGGACAGCCTTAAGCTTCCATGGTATATCAAGGACCTTGCCACAAGCTTAATGAGAGCTAAATTTCCAAAATATCTGGGGTGGTGACAGTGTGCCCCCAAGGCTGCAACAAGGGTTTCCATAGCTGTGTATTTGACAGGGTTGCTGACAAGTCTGTTCTCTTCTGAGACAAAAGATAAGTATCCCCAAAACAGTTCTTTTCCTATCATTTGCCCTTGAGGATGCATATTTTATCTTTTCCATACACACTGTTAATTGGAAGAGTGAATCATTTTGAGTGGGAAACTCTTTTCACGTTGTACAAGCGTATCATTTGTTAATTGTTTATATGTCTGACTACACTAAATTCCCTACATAGTCTCATTTATTTATCTCAAAATGTGTCTGAAATAGGTATCATCATGACTATATTTTCACATATGAGGCAACGAAAGCCAGGAAAGTATAACTGACCTGCCCAGAATCACATGACCCATAGAGGTAGAAGCCAGTACTTAAACCTAGAACTTTTTCCAAAATCCTTTCTCTTAAACTGATTCACATGCTTAGGCCACGAATATGCACTGGAAAGCAGGAGGGGACTGATAGAATCCATGCGAAGTAGAAGAATACTCTAGCTTCCACCTTCTCGTTCACATGTTCATCCAAGTCCATTATACTTAAATAAAAAATTCCCCATTGCAGGTTTGTGGGAGCCCTCCAGGGGTTCTTTTATCTACCAGCAAACTTTTCAGCAATGGTGGGGATTACTTTTAAAAAATAAAAAGGAAGAGAAAAGTGAGCACTGAAAATGGCAAGTGAAACTAGTTTCTTCCCTAGTTAGTACCTGTTCTCCCTGTAAGAGGACTAGAAATAATCAGGGGAGAACAGCCTACTCAATCTTCTGCATCCTGTGCTTACTTGATTGGCATTGTCCTATAGCAAATAAATTACGCTGACTACAGAAGGAACAGCTTTACTGGAGTATCAGCTGAGTAATAATAACAAAACAGGAACAATAATGGCAAAAAAATAACCGTATTAACCACTGTGGATCTGCCTACTGGATTGCTCAGGAATGTGAGGCCCACAGTACTGATGGGTCTTATTGTCCAATGCCTGGTCTTCTATGGTACCTATAGGCCAAAAACTCTTCACTGAAAACTCATGAGAAATTTACGTACAATAAATTCACAGACCTCTCAGTTGTTCTTTTTTCTTAACAGAACCTAACAATCCATACTTTTAGTATAACCTAAAAACCATACTTTATTCCTTCTTACTTGACTTTCAACATTCAGTTATGTTGCTCCGTTGTATCCGACTCTTTGTGACCCCATGGACTGCAGCACACCAAGTTTCCCTGTCATCACCAACTCCCAGAGCTTACTCAAACTCATGTCCATCGAGTCGGTGATACCATTCAACCATCTCATCCTCTGTCCTCCCCTTCTCCTCTTGCCCTCAATCTTTCCCAGCATCAGGGTCTTTTTCAATGAGTCAGTTAAAAGTATTGGAGTTTCAGCTTTAGCATCAGTCCTTCCAATGAATATACAGGATTGATTTCCTTTAAGACTGACTGGTTCGATCTCCTTGAAGCCCAAGGGACTCTCAAGAGTCTTCTCCAACAAAACAGTTCAAAAGCATTAAATCTTCTGCACTCAGCTTTCTTTACAGTCCAGCCTTCACATCCATACAACACTGTATTATGCAGGGACCTCAAACATCACTTATAATGTACATATGGTTGGAGAAATTAACAAGTTATATTTTTTATTTACTTGTACCTGACTCAACATACCAAACTTGAAACATCTCAGAATAATCCTTATAACTAGAATCCTCAGTTGTTTTATTATACATTTGATCAGGTACTAATTGCCATATTATATTCATTCTTTGAACACACCTGCTTTCTTTTTTTTTTGGTGTCTTTTGGTTTCTTGTATAATCAAAATTAGCACATTTTATTTCTCTTGAATATGGAATTCTAATTCATTATTTTACTCTTTTTAAAAATAAGTTAGGACACATTAGCTCTGTAAAAATATTATTTCTAATTACCTGCTAAGTATACTTCCTTTCTTTTCTTTCACCTCTAACAGAAAAAACTCAGTCTTTATGCAAAGATGTAATATGTAACATATGTAATATAAGTTTTATAGAATACCTTGCCATTTCATTGCATAATCCATTTCAGTGTTTTTATTTATCAAAATACAGTATTCATCTGAAGTTTCTCTAATACTTTTCTTTCTCCTTTTGAATAGACATATACAAATGAAGTAATTGCCTTAGACAACATGTAATTGGGCTGACTTATTTATTTGTGTTTGGGGATTTATACAGTGATTTGTCTCCAAAGAGCAACTGAAGTAATTTTAAAAGCTGGAAAATATAAAAATGTTAATAAGAAGACTAGAGGAAAGGTTTTAATTAAGGAGAGCACTCATAAATTGTCCTAGTGATGACAACTCTGACATCATTACATTTCTCTGGGAGGACATGAGAGAAGTGATAGGAGGGTGCCTGTAGAAAATCGTAGTTGTTCTTACTCAAGGCAATGAACTGTTAAGTACAAGCTTAATTACGACCTCTGTTTGTCATCTTGATACTTAATAATGCCACAGATGCGCTTCTCCTGGGCCGTCAATTGCCTGCTCTGTCAGTTGTCTGAGTATTTGCTGCCAAATGTGTGGCTGCCTTCCATCTCCTGAGGAGATAGCTGGTTTACCGCATCTAGGCTCCAGGCAGGAACCAACTGATTTTCTTCTCAAAATATCTTGTTTCCTGGGACAGGCTGCACCAGAAATTAGACTGGAAATTTGTTTGCTTACTTACTACATCTTAGATCAGAAAAAAAGAGAAAAAAAATCCCTCATTTCTGACTGTTCTCATGATAAATGATTGAGATGTGTCAGATGACAGAATAATTTTGAAAGGAAAACAACTGAGATTTTTCAGATCAACTAGCTCTGGAAGTTAATGAAACAACTGTGTCCTTCACAGAGACAGCAAAGAGCACCACTAACCCAGGGCCTGCTCTGCAGCTAACAATGTTTTTGAAATTTTTCATTTATTTCTCAGAAGAGGTGAGTTCAAATTGAATATAGAATTGTATTCTTTTTTTAAATACAGAGAACAGGAGGTTATGAAAAAAAGTATTTTAGATTCTTGTAGATGAAAAGATGCAAATTATTTTTCTTAAATTTCAAATTATCTTTCACTAATGAAGAATATAATTCTCCAATTTTCAAAGAGTAAAAATTAACATTAAATTTAAAATTTTCTGAAGCATTCTTCAACTGAATCATTCTTCAACTATTTCAGATGCTCACCATTCTTCAATGATTTCAGGTTTTATTTTTTTATTTTTTGGAGTATAGCTGATTAATGATATTGTGACAGTCTCAGGTGTGCAGCAAAGTGATTCAGTTATACATACACACGTGCCTGTTCTATTTCACATTCTTTTCCTATTTAGGTTGTTACATAATATTGAGCAGAATTCTCTGATTTTTTATGTTATCGAAAATTTAGAACCATAGTTCAGGTAAATCAGCAGCCTTACATCTTTTTGTTTTGCTTTGCTTTAGTTAGGTAAACTATTCTTTTCATGCATAACTCCAAAACTCAAGAGTTAGTTTTCAGCGTTGCGCTGACAAATAT